TTTTTTTTTTTTTAGATTACCATGGAGGCTGTTGGATGTAGAAGACACACAAAAAATTTAACCCTCCCATTTCTCTCTCTGTCTGTCGGGTATAATGGTGGGTGGTTAAATAAAGCCAACAGGGAGACAGAATTTACATGAACATACAAATTCTATGTATTTTTAGGGGGGATTGTCGACATAGTATAGGATAAGAGTAACTTAAGTAATAATAATTCTCTTTGAATTCGAGAAAGTCTTATATAACGAAAAATGGAAAATAAGAAACGGAAAATGAACGTGAAAATTTGTCGACGTAGATAAACATGAAGAGATTATATAAGGAAAATCTCAGAAGGAGTTTTGACGTTTAATTAGTCGACTTTTTAAACTTGGTAGGAATAAGAACTTCTGTATTCTTCGCCATCCTTCAGTTCTGGGCGTTCTCTGGCGATGTCGTCGAGGTGTTTCAGAGTGACTGGTGCCAAAAGTGCGTCGACTGCCAGTCGTCGTTTGCTTTCAGACAGCTGGGATGGTGTTGGGACATCCGGATTGGCAATTCTCGGGGCTGCTGTCAGGGCCTTCTCCCTGATGAGAAATCGTCGTAGTTTGTCGGGGGTCTCCTCTTGATCGTCGAACTTGGTTTTTATCCTTTTGGTGAGTGTCGATTCGGATTCCCCAACCATGATCCTGTGATCAGCTGCGATTAACCATGTTGGCCAGGTAGAGTAATTGAGGCGTTGCCAATCAACAGCTGATTTCCATCGAATGCTGCACTCGGGGCATTCGGGACAGTAGAGACTGAGGTCCCGTGAACACCCAGAGCAACGGCCCAGGACCCTCTCGTGTTCTACTCCGTGGGGGTAGGGACAGTCCTTAGCGTCGAATCCTGGGGCACCGCAATGATGACAGAAACCTGGACCCCAGGGCAGATTACACTCTTTAAGGTGATGTTCGGCTGATCGGCAGTTGACACAGCCTCGCGTAAACTGCTTGTCCACTTGAGTAACATAAGTCTGTGTGCTCTTGGTAGCCTTTTGACTTTCAAAGTGGGATACCAGGAACTTCGCACGCTCAGTGACGAGTGCTTTCAGCTGATCCTCGTTGAGTCAGTACAGTGGCTTGCTCTCCGGGTCTAACTTGATCGTCGAAATGTTGTGATCTTGGAGGAATGTCTTGAAGGAGGGTGTCTTAAGAGGAGGAGCAGAATCGACGGGACGGAAGGTGCTAGAAATGCGTCAGCGTTATCAGTCGACTTGAGTTCTCTTCCATAGACACTGAACTTTGCTTTTGGTGCCGTGGCCCCGAGTAGGCGTCGACGCTTTATATTTTCTTCATCGATATCGGCTTGAGTCTGGACAGTCCAAGTAGAGTCGAGTTCTGGAGGTGGCAAGCCTCGAATCTCGCACAACAATGCAGCTGCCTCATTCGAGATTGGGAACTGAGTGTATGTAGGAAGAGCCCCTTCCTGTAAAGGCGTCAATTTCAGTCCACTGATGTTAGGCAACTGGGCTTCAGGGCTGGCCAGTTGTTCGGTTGCCATTTTGGGTAGGTCTGTGGCTTTATCGTGGTCCTTGGAGTTGGAGTAGTCGAGTTCCAGTAGTTTTACGAAATCGTCTTCGATGTCGATTTGATCTCCCATTAACGACTTGGATGTTGTCGAGCCATCCTCGCTGTCCTTGGACAGTTTGTCGACTGGCAGCGATGCGCTTTCGCTAGATGACGTCGTCGATGGAGAGCTGGTATTGTCGTCCTCGTTGTCTCCCATGATGTCGCGTTGCTCGTGCTGACAAACCTACAGAGACAAGTTATTTTCGTCTGAGGCTACGTCGCGGAAATTTTAAATCGGTTGCATAATACTTTCCTCTTTTTTTACCATTTTTGTCGACCAATTCCACCGTCATAGGACGCAAAATCTTATCGACCACAGCAGGGCCCAGGTAGCGATGGGCTAATTTGGCATTGTAATTCTCAGCTTTGTCGCTAAGTCTCTTGTTCGGGTAATAAACTTCAGAGCCGACTTTTACTTCTACTTGATTCGACTTATTTTTATTTTCTTTGGCTAATCGTTCGTCATTCTTCTTTTTCAGAAACAACTCTATTTGATGTCGAAACTCATCGATTTTCGACATTCGCTCCGCCCAAAGATTTTGAGCTTCATCTTGAGATGGTTGATTATTGGTATTACGTATGTCTCGTTTTATTATAGCCTCTCGACCGTGATTAAGGTAAAATGGGGAAACTCGCGTTCCCGCATGTGGTACCGTATTGTAAGCTAGTTGAAATTTCGACAAGTTAACATCCCACTCGTTTTGGTGGTCTTTGATGAACGCGGCGATCATCGGTTTTACTGTTCGATTTACGCGTTCGACAGGATTCGATTGTGGATGACTTAAAGGAGTCGTGTGATGTTTAACTCCCCTCGCGATTAAGAAAGTCGAAACGTCTTTATTACAATATTCCGTTCCGTTGTCGGAAATCGTTTGGGGGGTACCCCAGCGATCGAATATCGACTCTAAGATCTTGACTATCGTTTTGCCCTTTTTATCACGAGTTGGAAATAGTTCGATATATTTCGTGCTCAAATCTTGGATGACAACAATATGCGAATTTCCCTTTTTCGACCTGGTTGTCATATCGGCTGTATCGATAGCTAACTCTGTCCAGGGAGTTTGAGTCGGTCGAGATGTCATCGGTCCCTGAATAGGATGTTGGTTATTTTTAACCCGAATACAGATTTCGCAGTCGTTTACGTAACGCTTTACGTCTTCAGTCATTCCTGTCCAATAATATTTTTGTCGGACGCGGTCTAAGGTTTTATCCCTTCCTAGATGTCCTGCCTGCGGTTCGTCATGATTTTCCTTAAGAATTCGCAATACTTCATCTGGTCTTACCACGAGCTTCCAAGGGTTTTCGTCGTCTAATATAGCTTTCGCGTAATCAGGTCGATAATAATACATCTCGTCATTTTCGAGTTTCCATTCTGGAAATCGACTAGGGCTTTTCTCGACGAGATCGCGTTTGGTTTTATACCAATTTTGGTCACAAATAGAATTTAATTTTATTCGACGTCTAATCGTTTCTTCGACAATCTTTTCCCATCCCAACGGATCAACATCGACATCAAACATACGCGAGAGAGCATCTGATGCTTCATTCATCGTGCCACGTTTATGTTCAATAGTTAGATCGTGCTGCAATAGGTAAATTGCCCAACGAGCGAGTCGACCTACAGGATTTTTCACACTGTAGAGCCATAAGAGAGCTTGGTGATCTGTGACGACTTTGAATTTCATTCCCTCGAGATAACACCTAAGTTTTTCGACTGCCCATACGACGGCAAGGCATTCTTTTTCGGTAGTCGTGTAATGGAATTCCGCACCCCGCAACGGTCGACTTAGTACTTCGATAAGTAGTTTTTTATCGGTCTCCGTGTCTTTTTGTACCAGAATCGCGCCTAACCCGAAATCGCTGGCGTCTGTGTATAAAATAAACGGTTGACCAGGGATCGGCGTGTAGAGGCGAGGGATGTCGATTAGAGATTGTTTAATTTCATCGAAAGATTTTTGCTCGACATCTGTCCATCGCCATGTATGTTTAGGACTCGTCAGTTTATTTAATGGCCCGTGGACTTTAGCGATATTCTTCAAATGTCGATGATACCAATTAACCATGCCGTTAAACTGTCTAAGTTGGGTACGATCACGTGGTATTGGATAATCGATTATCGGCTGAATTTTCTCTGGATTCGGTCGCATACCGTGTTCATCGATTATGTACCCGAGGTACTTAACTTCTCGACATGCAAAACTACTTTTTTCGCGATCAATCTTCAGTTTCGCTTCGCGTAAAACCTCGAATAGAATCGACAACAACGAAAAATGTTCGTCCAAATTTTCGCTAACCACAATCCAATCATCTAAATAAACAAAAACCTTTTCAATCCAATGATTGGGTAATTTTCGCTCAATAATAATTTCTCCTATTCGCCTTTTTAATTTGTCCATAAGACATTGGAATCTCGATAGCGCCCCTGTCAAACCGTAGGGCATGCGAACCCACTCGAGTAAGCCTTTACCCTCGACCACAAAAGCGGTGTATTTTCGACTTTCTTTCTCCATTGGTATTTGATGGAAAGCCTCGCTCATGTCTAATGTCGAAATAATTTTTGCCTGATACAATTGCGACAGGATTGAACCCATTTGTGGTAAGGGGTAGGCTGGTTTCTCTGTCTTTTTGTTCACGATCCTATAATCGACATAAAACCGTAAATTCCCGTTGGCTTTCGGAGCTACCACCGGTGAACTCGCCCAGTTACTGTTACTCCATGTAACGTAACCCTTCTCTAGCAATCTATCGACTTCTTGATAGAGAAACGCGCGAATTGCCTCACTACGTCGATAAGGCTTTTGTCGATGCGGTTCTGAGTCTTCTAACTCTATCTTATGTTCGATTAAATCTGTGACACCCGTGCACTCCTTTTCGAATTTTATGAATTCTCGATCGAGAAATTCCTTCAGTGTTTGTGTTTGATTGATCGACAGTGACTTCATTTGGGTTGGGAAGACGAAACGATGTGATAGAGGGTAAGTGTATTCACTGCCTGCCAACGTCCATACCCTTTTAATCGGGTCAAGATAGACTTTAAACGCTAGAATGAAGTCCATCCCCAGGATGACATCGTTCGACGCCCCAGGGAGGATACTAAACCACTGTAGTCCGTAAACATCCCCAATGTCGATAATAAAGCAGGTGCCCCCGTCACTCTTAACGACTGAGCTATCGCCTAAGCAAATTCCCGCTGTCGAAGTTGTGTCTGGGGTAACCTCCGTCACCTTCAGAGTTTTCACTCGTTCGAAGGCTTCAGGGCTCATGTAAGTTCTTTCACTTCCACCATCGATAAGTCCCCTTAACGTTTGTCCAAAAATCGAAATTGTCACCTCAGCTTTAACTAAATTGATAGGTTCTTTAGTTCCGTTTTCATTTCGATAAATTCGACATTGTGACAGACGATGAATTAAATGAAAGGGGAGGTTTTTAGGCCTCCAATTTTTCAAGGAACCGATATTCTCATTGGGTGATTGTGTCTCGACTTGACTCGCGGGATTCTTGCTGGAAATTGTCGATAACTTAGTTACATAATCATTAGACTCGTCACGAGGCGCGATATCTTCTTCTTCAAAGTCGGAAAGCTCGCACTCTTCCGACGATTCCTCATCGACATCCAGCGAGATCGCTGTTTCACCCTCGAATTTATTATCCTCTATATTTAATAGCGAAGATGACTCGACTTTAACTGGTGGGCTTTCAAGTGTCTTTACCTTGTTAATTTTAATCTCGCCTCCCTCGATTTTTATTTCCGTCTGTGCAGCACGATCAACCTGTTTTCCCTCCGTTTTGCTCTTTATTTCAGTGATCGGAGACGATTTCACTGAGAGCTTTTGGCGTTTCCCGAAAGCTTAGAACAATTCTTATTTAAATGTCCCACTTGTTGGCAGATGTGACACACTTCCTGCCTATCGGCAGTACAAACGCGTGAAGAATGTCCCATCTGTCCACAGTTATAACATAGTACTTTCGACCAGTCTCTAGGGGAATTGAATTTTCGTCTTCCTCTAGGATCGTGCTGGGCAGGCGATTTATTGCTTTCTTTGTTTTTCTGTTCAAAGTTTGCGAGATTTTGGTCGAGTCTTTTCCGTACCATCGATTTCGATTCTCGACTTTTCGATTGATTGGGGACTGACCGAGTTTTCGATTCTAACGCATTCAATTTCGTTACTTCATCTTTGTCCGATAATTCGTCGCTTGAGGTAGTGTCATCGTCTTCATCCTCGGGTTCCTCATCAAGAATACAATTTAATTCGACTTTCTCTCTGGAGTACCTCCCCCTTTTCTGATCGACGACTTGTTTAAAGACGTCGCCACGTAAATTAGCAAAACCCAGAAAGTCATCGTAATTTTTAATAGTCAATGGCAAGATCTCGAGCGCGATTCTAGGGTTGAATTTCTTGATTATTTGTTCGATTTGTTTTTTAAACGTGGGAGGATTTAACATACGTTTGAAAAGAAAACGAGCGCGATACGTGAATTCCGGTAGGGTTTCCCCCTTTTCGACTGTTAATTCTCCCACCTCGGTATACAAATCCATGTCGTCTTTTTTCACAGCCCAATTTTGTCGGAATGCGGTTGCGAACTCTTTCCAAGTTCGCCATTTCGACTTATTGATTAGATACCAGTTTCGATGTGGACCTTCAAAAATAGACGATAGGCAAGGGACGAATAGATCTTTATTTATTCCGGTGGTTTCAAGTCGTTCCATTAATATGAGTAGGAATTGATCAGGATCTTTTTCACTTTGTGGGAAATTAAGTTTCCAATCGGTAACTAATCGCGTAACCTTCATTCCGGTGTTCATATCCCATGGTTGATTTATTCCAGTCGACGGTGAATTGACCGACAGGGTTTCCTGAAAATTCCCTGTATCTAGATTATTCGACGTGTATTCGTCGAGTGAAAGACTACCCCTTCCTGTCCTATTATTCGATTCAATAGTACGAAATGGAGAGTGGGATAGATTCGTATTAAGATGGTTCATGTATTGTGATTGTGCTTGTAATTGTGTTTGTGTTTGTGGCTGTGTATAACGTGTAGTTTGGTAACCCAAATTGATACCTGCTGGATTCGCAGAAAACCGTCGAAACTCATTAGCGTCTACGTAACGCTCCTCAACAATTATCTGACCATCCGGCGATACAAAAGAAATTTGAATTTTCTCTCGACTTCTTTGAGAATTCGAGTATGAGTTATCATTTGAGGCGAAGTGAACATGTCGAATCTAGCTATCAACAGAACCATTCCCTCGATTGAACAAATGCTCGGGTTGGAGTCCAGACGTTCCGCCCCGAATATCTGTCCCCACAGGCACAAACGCTCCCCTTCCTTGCGGAGATACATTCGCGCGTAATCCATCATCGACTGTTGCTCCATGTACCCCTCCCTCAGACGGGGCTGAGCCACGTGGCAAAGTCGGACCCTCAAAATTTTCAGAATTTTCTTCGACTAAATTCTCATCAACTTCTCGCGATATTCTTTCACCGCTCGGTAAATCATTCTCTCCCCCTATTGGTTCGTCAACCCTCGGGGGATCATTAACATTAATATCCCTATTCGAATCGTCATTCGAATTTTCTCTAGAGTTTCCATTTGAATTATTTTCCTGTCGACGGGAATTTCCATCCATCGACCTTAATGTGTCTTGACTCTGCCCGACAATAAAATCTACAACTTGATCTACTTTGGAATGTAAACTCTCAATATCGTCTTTGAAACTCTCGACTTTATTCAATCTCGAATGAAAACTTTGCATTGATTCTACCAATTCTTCATAAATCGGCGCTTGATTACTCGGAGTTACACGTATTCCCCTCCCCCTTGTACTCATTAGTGGGGTTCCTGGTCGATTCACGGATGCTGACGTTTGATGTGGTATTGTCCATGATAGATTACGCCCCCTACCCCCCACGGGACCGGTCGCGGAATTTTCTTGCGTGGGCCCGTCTTCCGATTGGTCCTGATCTAATGTCATCGTATTATCTAAATTCCTATTCGACCTTAATATTCTTTCTGATCGTTCGATTTTTTTTGTTCTTTTTCCTTCGAGCGGGGTCGTAAACATCACGTACTAATAAAAAGTTTCTAATTATTTAATAATTTCCCACGAAAATCGAAAACGATTAGCCAAAGATATTTTCTCGTATTATCTTAATCGACACCTGAATAGACAATTCGATATTTCCCAAAAAAAAATCGACAAGAACTGAGAAGTTTAAATTCAAAACAATTACAATCCCTTCGACTGAGTCCCTCTCCACGCCTCGACTACAGACGGACAAGGTCACGGCTGTTTCCCAATCGATTTTCAATCACGGTAATTTCGACTACAGACGGACGAAATTACCATACAAATTTCAACACGTGTGGAAGAGTCGACAAATATGGCAATTAAATAACATACAATACATCAAGTATATTTCGTTCAATTCAATAATATATCACTCCTAAAGGAAGATTAAAGAGTGAAAGTGAAATGTAAAGGAAAAGAAAGAAAAGAAGAGCAGTAGAGCGCTATAATCCCAAGTCGATCGCTCTATTGTTGAATATAAACATCGACGGTCGGCCGTATGCCCGAACGTCGGAATTAAGAATTTCACTGTCTCTCTCTAACACGTTGAGAAAAATTTTCGACTTAAATTTTCTCCTTAAACTCGCACAATTAATTTATATAAATATCCAACTGGGCCCCACGTTGGGCGCCATTGATTTCTCGACAACCAACAACGTTCGACTTAGCTCAGGATATCTCAGAGGAGGAAGTTGGAAGACCCAAGAGTTAAATGATACAGACAGAGAGATAAAGGAAAATAAGGCAAGAATGTTCAATAAACGAATACTCACAATTAATGTGGACAAAATCTTCGACTCTATTTGTTTAATTCCTCGGGAACCGACTCTTCCCACACAATATAAATTACAATATAAATATAATCGACTTAATATACGACACAATAATCACGATGTACACACGTGTACCGCCAAGGCAAGAGTGAGTCGGTGGGCCCTAGGCAACCTGTTACATGACTGTTATGTCCTATCCAAGTTACTAGGAGGACAGTAGCGCCATTTGGAATATTGAGCGCCAAACTTTGAAGTGTGGATCCGTTAGCCGCTAAATCTCTGATGAGGACTCCATCGATGTTGACACGTTCAATGATAGGATAATTGGATTGAAGGTTTATTTATGAATAAATCCAAACACCAGTGCTTAGGAGAGCACATTAACACTTTTATTCAAAATAACTCTTGACTCAAAAATCTAAAACTTGGACTACAAACTGGATGAACTTCTAATAAACTCTAATAAAAACTCATAAAAACTTCGAAGAAAAACTACTTGAAGAGAGAAGCTTGAAAAGTTGTCGGAACAACAGCCACGATGGGACTGACTTAAACTTAAGTTTTTAATCTAAGGGTTGGCTCAAAACACCAAAAAGACTAGACCAAAAAGTTGCGCGCGCAATCCTGGCCCAGAGGAAGGGGAAGAGGGGTATGCTAAAACAGAAAAGGGGAAATGAAAAGAGGGAGGAAGGGAAAGCGTGCGACGTCGCCAGTTTTCCTCTTGAAGGGTCTCAGGCCTTCCGCGTAGGAATGCAATGAACAAAGGAGAACCCAAACACGTGTGGACCACTTGAAACAGAGAAACTTTCGAAATATACCAGAATTGAGATTTTACGATTTTACGACTGTGACCGATGTGTTTATTTTTCTCTCTG